CTCGTTCCTTATTTAGGGTTCCTTAGGTCAACGCCCCGATTGTAGGTAGTAAGAAAGGGCTCACCCCCCTCAGCCTTCCTTCTCTTAGCAGCGATGCCGATGGTCTGTGCCGCCTGCCTGCGCCTCCCTGGCAGCCCGAGCCGCGTCGGCCCCCCCAGGAGATCGCGGGCAAGGTCTTGCGCAGACGGGGACAACTTGGCACGGCGCTTCTCCACCTCAGCATGACCACCTGGCGGCAACTCAGTCCATCGCATGCAAAACAAAGAGCCATCACTACTTTGAAAGGCGCCTAGCTTGCCTGCCAACTGTGCCTCGAGCGAGTTCGTAGGCGGGGGAGCCGCCTCAGAGCTGCCGTTCTGCCTGCACTGGTCTGAGGCTGAGGCGCCGCCTTCCGAGCCAGCGCCTCGTACGCCCTGTCCAGAACTCCGAGCTCCGATGACTGCTCTGGACGAGCTGACGCAGCACTTTGAGCCGCTCCTCCAACGTATCAGCCCCGCGCAGCTCCTTCTTCATACGATGGTCGTGCCTGACCCTGTCCCTCTGGCACTTGGCGAGCTGGCCCTTGAGCCCCACGGGCTGGGCAGGCTGCGGCCGACAAGGCCGCGAGCTGCGCACGGCAGCGCCCAGCCTCGTACGTGATGCCAGCGTTCTTGGAGCCCTCGCTGCTTGACCTCGACCTGGGAAGAGCACCCTTGGAAGCACCCTGCGACCACGCAGGCGGCCCTACCGAACTCTGGTCCCGCATCGCCCCACCGTCATGGCAGGAGTAGAGCTCGGGCTGGTTGCGGCGGCAGCCGCGCACTGCACACATCCACTGGCTACTGCCATCACCTGCACGATGAGACCCATCAGGAGCGCCTGAAGACCAGGCGAGAGCGCAGGCCACAACTCGCGCCACGGGGGGATGGAGGTCGTCGGCTTGCCTTTCCCACCCTGCCAGCTGCCCCAGCTCGCATGCCAAAGCCCCCACGAGGAGCGTCCCTTCCCGCCGCCGCCGCCGCTGAGGCCATGGACCCTGAGGAGGCGTGGTGGAAGCGGGAGCTCTGGTGGGAGTGCGATGAAAGATTGAGGGATGAGGCCCCTCGACCTGAAAGAAAGCCACGAAGGCCCGCAACAGCAGTGTGCCGTTCTGAGCCTGAATGGCTAGGGAACCAGGAGGGGGAGGAGGAGCAGGAGGATTGAGGGATGAGGCCCCTCGACCTGAAAGAAAGCCACGAAGGCCCGCAACAGCAGTGTGCCGTTCTGAGCCTGAATGGCTAGGGAACCAGGAGGGGGAGGAGGAGCAGGAGGAGCAGGAGGAGGAGGAGGAGGCTCCAGTTTTCGTCTCGCGCTCAAGCTGGCGCCTGGCACGCCCGGCGCGCGGCCGCTGGTTTTTTTGGAGCGGCCTGGGCGATGGGCCGCGCTGCGCGTGCTCCCTTCGCTGGAGGCTGCCAGGTCGCGCCTCCGCTCGGGGCTGCGGGGGGCTGTGGTCGGAGGAGGTGGGGCGATGAGGAGGAGCATCGGGGTTCCAGGGTCGAATCCGCCCCCTGCGTTTTTCACGTTTTTCGGTTGCCTGTTCCTTTTAGTTTCTTTTTTTTCGGGGGGGGGCGGTTGGGGGATTCGTTTTTTCTTTTTCTGGGGGGTGGGGGGGGGCTCTGTCTGAATCGTTTGCGTTTCCGTTTGCGAACGGGTTTCTTGTGCGTCCGTGGGGCATGGCCAGCAGTGCGCTTAGGGCCTTGAGAGAGTGGGGAGGCGCCGATTGGTCACGATTTCGATTGTGCGACCCCTCGCACAGTCAGATTCGTGACCAGGGGGATGGTTTGCAACCCTGGGGGGGGCGGAAAAAAAGGAAAAAGAAAAAAGGAAAAATATTATCCCAGTGCGACCCTACCTAGGAGTTGGAACCCCTAGGAAAGCAGCATTAGTAGTAACAGTAACGCTAAGCTAAAGCTAAGCTAAAGCTAAGCTAAAGCTAAGCCACGGCTAAGCTAAAATTAAACTAAAGCTAAGCTAAAACTAAGCTAAAGCTAAGCTAAAGCTAAGCTACAGCTAAGCTACAGCTAAGCTAAAGCTAAGCTAAAGCTGAGCAACAGCTAAGCTAAATCTAAGCTACAGCTAAGCTAAAGCTAAGCTACAGCTAAGCTAAAGCTAAGCTAAAGCTAAGCTAAAGTTAAGCTACAGCTAAGCTCAAGCTAAGCTCAAGCTAAGCTAAAGCTAAGCTAAAGCCAAGCTACACGCTAAGCGAAAAGCTAAGCGAAACGCTAAGCTACAGCTAAGCTACAGCTAAGCTAAAGCTAAGCTAAAACTAAGCTAAAGCTAAAGCTAAAGCTAAGCTAAAGCTAAACTAAAGTTAAGCTAAATCTGAGCAACAGCTAAGCTAAAGCTAAGCTACAGCTAAGATCAAGCTAAGCTAAAGCTAAGCTAAAGCTAAGCTAAAGCTAAGCTAAAGCTCAGCGAAAGCTACGCTAAAGCTAAGCTAACGCTAAGCTACAGCTAAGCTCAAACTAAGCTAAAGCTAAGCTAAAGCTAAGCTAAAGCTAAGCTAAACGCCAAGCGAAAAGCTAAGCGAAACGCTAAGTTAAAGCTAAGCTACAGCTAAGCTAAAGCTAAACTAAAGCTAAGCTAAAGCTAAGCTAAAGCTAAAGCTAAAGCTCACAGGGGACTGGGGGGAACCGCGGGGCGGGGACTGGGGGAACCGCCCGGGGCGATTTACACTGCCCGGCCCCTTTAAGTTAAGAGAGTAAGAACCCTTCTAGGCAGAGCCTAGGTAGGGAAAAAAGAAAGTTGAGCTTCCAACGTTTTTTTGTGTTTCTTTTTTTTCCGCCCCCCCAACCACCACCACTTCCACCACACTCCATTCCTGCCCGTTCCCCCGTCCCCTCCTCCCCCCTTTCTACCTCCCGTCCCCCCTTTCAGTCGCATTGCATAGACGTCGCATGCACTGCGTTGCAATCGCACTGCGTTGCAGTCGCATTGCAACAGCCGCCTTATTGCACCCTCCCTATTGCACTGTATTCCAATCGCATTGCATTGCAATCGGATTGCATTGCATTGCAATCGGAATGCATTGCATTGTATTGCAATCGAAATCATCGCTCGTGCCGCTTGTGCATTGCAATCGGTTGCATTTCGATCATATTGCATCACATTGCAATCGGATTGTATTCACTATGCTGGTGCGCACGGGTTCGGTGACTCGTGCAGGGATTGGGGACGGATGGTCTTACATGGGAAGAAGGAAAAAGAGGAGGAGGAGGAGGAGGAGGAGGAGGAGGAGGAGGAGGAGGAGGAGGAAGGGCCCCGAAGGCTTCAATCATCCTTGCCCCTGGTGGCGCTGTCGCGCATCGCGCGCCGGGGAAGGGTTGTTGGGGGAAAGGGGGTGCAGCGTCTATTCAGGAGACCAGGGCGGACCCCCGAAAGTTTGGAAGGTTACGTTTGTGTAATTAGTTAGTTACTTAGTTAGTTAGTTTGATCGCAATAGCCATTGTCATTGCCATCGTCTCCACCTGTACCATCGCCATCGGTATCGCCATCAAAACTCGGTGGCTCCTAGGTGCCAGACGCCTGTCGTATCACCATCACCATCGCAATCGCCAGTTTGGGTGCTATATGTAGATGCCGAGTGGTGGGTATTGGACGATGTAGACAGTACTGGACTGGTGTGGACTCTCCTCCACTCTGCTGTACTCTTCTCTATTGCATCGGTTTTATTGTGCCATCTACCCTGCTCTACTCTAGGAACTTCTTCTCTATTCTACCCTACCGTACCCTACCAACCCTATTATACTCTACTCTACTACTCTACCCTGCTCTACTCTACTCTACTCTGCTCTACTCTACTCTACTCCTACTCTACTTCTACTCTACTCCTACTCTACTCCACTCTACTCTCCTCTACTCTCCTCTGCTCTACCCTACCGACCCTTCTTTACTCTACTCCATGTATCCTGCTCTACTCTACTCTGCTCTAATATACTTTGTCTCGCTCTGCTCTACCCTACCCTACCCTACCCGTACCCTACTCTACTCTACTCTTCTCTGCGTCTTCCTCTTTCTGTTCTAATCTTGCTCTACTCGAGTATACTCGGACTCAGACCAATGACTCACACTCTCTGCGAATGTCGAGACGTCACGCCCAACCCGCGCCGACACCGACACCAAGGACTTTCTTTTCCTCCTCATCCCCCTCTCCTCCTAACTTTCTACATGCCTCGCATTGCACGAGTCCAGACACCTAAGATTCCAGAGGCCATGGCCTCACCCACCTGGTCTGCTCTAGGCCCGGACGCTGTCCGCAACGGTGGTCGCATCGCATCGCATCGCACCCCAAAACAATGGTACGCGGCGGCTGAGTGATATGGCGAGGGCCACGTGCTGCAGACCAGCTGTCGTCCTTCCGTGTAGCAGCTGCAGCTTGTCGGGCGCTTCTCTGCTCGGCAGGGAGCGGGGACGACAGAGACGGCGGACGAATGACGGCAGGGGGAGAGGGGACGACAGGCGACGAAGGGGTGACGGAGACGACGGCTCGAACGGACAGGCCCCTCACACACGCCGACGGGGTCGGCGGATTCTGCTCGGTGTCGAGGCGGCGGCTGCATGTTGGAAGCGTGTCGCCCTCTCCACCGGTGGCGCTGCTGAGATGCTCCAGCTGCAGAGGCCAAGCGGGCCGCGTGTCCCAGGCGAAACGCGGGGTCGCCCTGCCGACACGGATGGTGAAGCGACGAGGAGGGCGTCCTATTGTGCGCATGTGTATGCATATGTGTCTTCTTGTGTCCGCAGATGTGCAGAATGTATGTGTATGCTTGTATCTATAGGTGTACGAAGAGGGCGGATGAGGGGTTAGGAGGATGAGATAGAAGGGGAGAAGGATCAGTTTCGTAGGGCAGGGGGAGGATGAGTTGGAGGACGGGGGCGACGGATTCGGAGCAGGCCGGACACAGGCCAGGACAGAGGGCAGGAGGAGGAGGAGGAGGAGGAGGAGGACCAGGAGTGGGGGAGGAGCAGAGGAGGCGGAGCATGGCATGGAGCCAGAGCGCGTGGAGCGGATGGAGCGCCAGCCGCGGAGGAGCACGCCGAGCATGCGGAGCAGGAGGAGCAGGACGAGCAGAGGACATGGTCTTGCACATGTCCGCAGGGCAGCTGGCTCGAGACCCAGGCCTCGGCGGTCGAGCCCATGGAGCCCCACTTCGCGCCGCCCGCCCGCCGGCAGGAACCCCTCAGCCCTCGTCGCGCCGAGAGCGACGCCGCCTCCACCTCGGAGGCCCTCGAGGAGATCAGAGCCCTCGAGGAGGGCGCGGTGCGCGCCGCCGCGCCCGTGGTCGACGCCTCGGTCGCAGCGGAGGCCTCCGGCGCGGGCGGGGACGCCCTGGGCGCTGGCGCCCACCAGGAGCTGGCGGCTGACCCGCCGCAGGGCTCCGAGGCGCTTCCGCCGCGCAGCGAGCCGCCGCCGGCGCGGTGGCCCGGCGCGCCGCCCGTGGCGCGCAGCTACCCGGCCAGCCGCGTACCCAGCCCGACGCCCGCAGGCCACGAGCTGGCGGCCGCGTCTCGCACGGCGTCCACGGACGCAGCTGGTCGGCCGCAAGCGCCAGCAGGCAGCGGATCCACCGCCACCGCTGCCGCCGAGGCGGACCCGGCGATCTTGGCGCTGCAGTTCACGTGCCCGATCTGCCTGGAGATCTGCGAGGACTGCGTCGAGACGCCGTGCTGCCACAACCTGTTCTGCCGTCAGTGCCTCCTGTCCGCTGAGCACCGCATCGAGCGCTGCCCGATGTGCAAGAGTGGCCTGGAAGCTGGCGCCGTGGTGGCCAATGTCCCAGTGCAGCGGATGATCTCGGACATGCCCTGCTCCTGCCGATTCGAGGGCTGTGGCGCGCAGCTGAGCCGCCGGAGCCGGGCACAGCACGAGGCCCAGTGCAGCTTCATGCCGGTGCGCTGCCGCTTCTCCCCGAGTTGCGCGCCCCTGCTCAGATGGCAGCTGGCTCAGCACGAGGCCGCTGATTGCCCCTGCCGGCCGATCGCCTGCCCGAAGGAGTGTGGGCGCTTCGTGCCGCTCAACTGCCTCGAGGAGCACCTCGAGCGCGAGTGTCCACAGGCGGTGTGCCGCTGCGACCACTGCGCCGCTCCCGTCCGCCGCACCGACCTGCGGGAGCATCTGCAGCACTGCCCCATCGTGAGGGTCCCCTGCGGCCTGCAGGAGCAGGAGACGCAGTCACGTTGCGCCTTCTGCTGCGAGCGGCGCCACCTCGCCGAGCACCGCCAGGCCTGCGCTTTCCGGGAGGCCGCCTGCCGGCACGAGGGCTGCGCGCACGTGACGACGGTGCGGCTGCTCCAGGATCACGAGGAGCATTGCCGCTGGCGGCTGGCGCCGTGCCCAGACTGCGGCGCCGAACTCTGCCTTGGCTTGCTGCAAGAGCACCTCGAGACGAGCTGCCCAGAGCACCCCATTGCGTGCCCTTTCGCGGCGTACGGCTGCGAGGAATTCGTCCTCAGGAGGCTGGTTGACGAGCATCTTCACCATGGCGCCGGCAGGCACCTGGCGCTGCTTTGCTCGGCCGTCCAGGCTCGGGACCTGGAGATCGAGTCCCTGCGGGCAGAAATGCGGCGCCAGCAGCGCGACGTGGAGCGGAGGTTGGCGAGGCTGGAGCAGCCAGATAGAAGGTTCAGCACTGGACTGCTCCCACCGCTGCCGCCCGGGGTTGGTGCCCCGCCAGTGAGGCTCTCCGTGGGCGCCGACGCGCCGTTTCCGCCGTCGATTGAGCTGACGCCGCCGCCTCCACCGAACGAGCTGGCGCCGCCCCCGCCGCAGCTCCGCAGGGTGGGGGGGCCGCGGGCGATGGGCGAGGTACCCCCGCCGCTGAGGCCCCCGACCCCAAGTCAGTGGCCGGAGTCGCCCTCCGCGCAAGGGTTCGCGCCCACGTCATCCGCCATCGCCGGCGCGTTCGACATGTACCCCGGCACGCCGTGGGACCAAGACCTGGCCATCGCGCCGCCGATGGCGCTGCAGCCGTTGATGCTGCTGCGGGAGGGCGGGGTGTCCCAGGTGCCCGTGTTGTTCACGTCGCGGCAGGGGCGCCGGCCTGCAACCAGCCACGGGGTGCCCCCACCTGCAGGAGTGCTCCGGCGTGGCTTCGGGGTGGGCGGCGGCGTGGGCTACAGGACCCCGCGGGCACCGGTGCCGCCCTCCCCGCCGCCGTTCGCGTCCCACGGCGTGCCCGCAGACGGGGCCACCGCTGCTCCGCAGCCGGAGCCGTCGCAGTCGCTCGGGCCAGGCTCCAGCGGTGCGGAGAGCTCGCCTTCGAGGGCCTCGGGGCTCGTCGCAGGTGCCAGTCCTCCGCCTCCCAGCGACTTCCACCACAGCCCGGTGCTCGACGCCCTGGGCCCCGCGGCGTCGCCCAGCGAGCCGCCCCTGCCCCCAGGCGCCCCGCCAGCGGTGCCGCTGCAGCTGGGGCCCCCTCTCTCCGGCCCCGAGCTCCCGCCGACGGTGCCGTCGTCCCCGGCGCCCGCGGCGCTGAACCTGCCGCCGCCCCAGCCGCCGGCGTCGCCGCTGCCAGCGACGCTTCTGCAGCAGGACCAGGGAGACGCCCTGCTCGACGCCATCGTGGAGAGCGAGGAGCCGGGCTCGTCCGGACACACTCCGCGATACATGTAGGCTCACCTCCTCGCCCCGCGCGAGGCCTCGCGCAGGCAGGGGAGACGCCCTCCTGCTGATCGAGGCCCTCCTCGCTCTTCCTGCCGAGCCCTGAGATCCGACGTTGCAAAAAAAAACAGCATCGCAAAACACGACCGGACCCCTGGACCCCATCTTTCTGCGTCATTTTTCGAGCCGGATCGATCTGCGATGGTCCCGGGACCCGAAATTGAGTCGCCAAAATCTCAGGGGAGCCCCACGCTGGTCCTCCTCCCGTGCGGAGCGCGCTGGCCTTTTCAGTACTTCACAACTGTTGCCTTGGTAGTTCTGGTAGGCTCTTCGCGCTGGGTGGTGCGTGCGGTCAACCCAGCAGCTCGCGCGTACACCTTCAGCCAACAAAATCTGTCCTACGAGCAATCCGTCGGGCATCTTTGCACCCTTCATTGGCCAGCTCTGCGTCCTCCTCCTCCTCCTCCTCCTCCTCCTCGCCCTCCTCCTCCTCCTCCTCCTTCTCCTCCTCCTCCTCCTCTTCCTCCTCCTCCTCCTCCCCCTCCTCCTCCTCGCCCTCCTCCTCCTCCCTCCTCCTCCTCCCCTTCTTTTCCTCCTCGTCCGTCCTCCTCCTCCTCCTCCTCCTCCTCTCCTCCTCCTCCTCCTCCTCCTCCTCCTCCTCCTCCTCCTCCTCCTCCTCCCCTCCTCCTCCTCCTCCTCCTCCTCCTCCTCCTCCTTCTCTCTCCTTCTCCTCCTCCCTCCTCCTCCTCCTCCTCCTCCTCCTCCTCCTCCCCCTCCTCCCTCAAGCCATTTAGGCTCGAGCACAAGTCCTGTCCCCCGAGGCAGGCGCTGTTCGGGCCTCTCCTGTACCTCATCGGGGTGCTTGAGTGAATTTCCCTGGTCTCCAGAGCCCAGTGATCAGGGATCGACGAAAGCAGGAGTTTCTTTCAGAAATATGCCGATGACCAACCGTGTGTGGAGCCATTGTGGTCATTGCAAGAAGCCAGAGTACAACGATAAGCTGGAGAAGCAAGGGTGTAAGTGCGGGCGCTGTGGCAAGAAGATCCGACTCTTCCGCCCACGTTCAGCTTCTCCAGCCCTCAGCGATAAACGAGTATCTTTCGAGGACAGCGCAGAGGTTATCAACGTGAGCACGGTCCCCAGTAGTAAAGGTGAAAGTGCTGGTAGGTCTCGTGCATCACGGCGTGCGGCATCTAAGGAGCGCGAGAAGCAGCAGCAGCTCGCCGATCTTCTTAAACAAGCAGCTCAGGCCGCTGATAACGAGGAGATGCGCCAGGTCCTGATCGCACAGAGTCAGAAGTTGGCGGAGCGCGGCGAGACGGGCTCCACCCAGTCCGCTGCCGAGCTCGTCCGCCAGGCGGACGGTGCGTGGCGAGCTGCAGGGCATCGCCACGAGCAGCTCGTCACCCAGGTCTTGCGGCTGCGGACGCAGCTGCAGAATGCAGAGTGTAAAGAACAAGCTGCCGCTGTCGAGTTAGCAAAGGCGGAGGCGGCGAAGAAGAAAGCAGCCCAGGCGCTTGCGAGCGCAGAAGGATTGGCAGGAATACCCGTGAAGGAGGGCAAGGGCGAGCCAGCCTTCGAGGTGCGGATCAACAGCGAGATCTTCGACATGTTCGAGGAGTGGGAGTGCGAGGAGAGCGACAAAGAGCAGCTGCGCGTCCTCAAAGCGCAGTTGCAAGGGTATCAGAAGGAGTTCGCCACCAAAGACAGCGAGCTCAAGTCCTTCCTCGAGCGCGTTGCGCAGGTGGAAAAGGAGGTCACTGAGCGGATGTGGAAGAAGAGGCGCTGCCAGCAGGAGGGCGTCGAGGCCACCGCCACTGACAAGCCGACGCCACCTCAAGAGCAGCAGGTCGACGGCAGCGAGGGGCCCCAGCAGCCGACCGCCGAGGCCGACGCCGCCAAGACCGCCAAGGATGAGGAGGCGCAGTTGAAGAAGGAGGCCGCCAGGCTGTCCGCGGCACGTTTCGCCGCTGCCCAGGCCGTCGCCAGCGGTGGCCCTTCGGGTGGCGCCAGCCCCAAAGGCCCTTCGGGTGGCAAGGGTGGGTCGACGGCCACTGGCAGCGGCGGGGACAACGCTGCCGTGCGGGCAGCGGTCGGCGGTGAAGATGAGGAGCTGTGACTAGGGCCAGGGAGCCCGAGCACACCGGTGCCGTCGAGCGGCCCATCTACCAGTACAAGTTCGGCATCTTCAGCATCTACGCCGTCTGCGGGGACGACTCCGTCGGGTACGACACGAGTCTTTCGCGGGAATGTGACTTGCATGGGAGACAAATCTTGGGGGTATTTGTGTTCTCAGTCCATGTCCCACGACTACCTGGCGGTAGTGGAATCTCACGTTCGGTCTGGTGACGTTGCCAAGTGGACAGCTAAAGCCCGGGGGCGGGCACTCAAGCTGTTCACCAACGGAGCGAGGCCCAAGTCGAAGAAGGTCAGCGCCTCCCAGGAGGAGCGGGCCAACGAGGGAGGCGAGTGGCTCTTGACCAAGAATCACCGACCAGGTCAAGTCCTGGACGCTGCGCGAGCAGCCAAGGGGCTCAGGGCAGATAGAGGAGGCATGTTCGACGGTTTCCTGCCATGCCAACTGCACATGAGCGGCTTCTCAATAATCTTGTGTATTGTATACGGTCACTCTGGCGTAGGTTTTGGTCAGGCTAACGCGGCTCTTTTCCGCAGGATAGGAAGTCTTCTCGCCGCACTTCAGCTGCCATGGATTGCAATAGGAGACTGGAACTTGTCTCCCTCAGATTTGTCTAGGACAGGTTTTTTGGAGAGGATCGGAGGGGCAACTCTTCGGTCCGATATCGAGTACACTTGCACGCCCACGAATAGCGAGCACAAGCCGTCGCACTTAGATTATGTGGTATGTTCTGAGGCCGCAAAACCGTACATCAGAGGCCTCACTGCAGTTGTTGACGTTCCGTGGAAGCCCCATGTAGGCCTCTCTTTGGAACTAGTTGCTCAAGGGTCCCAGCTTTACACTATATATCTTGATTTACCCCCTCGGCTGCCCTCGGTCCCCAGGCCACAGCAGCAGCCAGTTGAGGGGTCCAAGAGTAGCATAGCCAAGGCACAGCTTCGCGTTTGTAAACAAGCAGCTCGCCAGCGTAGGCACGACAAAATTCGTGAATGGTTTCCTGTTTGAGTGCAACAGCGAGACAGCGTCAGCAGCCCAGGTTCCCATCAGCGAAGCTACTACAGGTAGCGGCGGCGCCGAGGATGGTGACGACCTGGGCTTCGAGTCGGAAGGCGACCCGTGGGCCGACGAGCCCAACTTCGGCTTCGACCCGACGCTCTCTTTTGCTGCTGCCTCCTCTCCGCTTCAGTTTCAGTCAGACAGCCAGTCAGACAGTCAAGTCAAGAGCCCTGAACCCATTAGCCCCGATTCGAAGCCCAGGGAGACATCATCCTCAGCGGAGAGTCCAGAGAGCGGTTCGGTTTCAAATGGGCAGCCTGGTCGAGACGAGAGTGAGCCACCATGCACTAGCGAGGGTGAGCCCCCCTGTCTCTTTCGAGGTTGCCGAGAGTCTCTGGAGGGAACAAAGGAGCGCCATCGGCTTCGTCCCATCCCCCCCCCCCCCCCTGCTGATGCTGTTGCTGCCTCCGTAGCCTTTCGCGTTGGCTCCAGCCATTGTGATTTCGTCAGCGGCCTGTACGCCGCATGGGCGCGCACCTTGGAGCGCACCCTGGCCGCCCACCACTCTCAGGTCCCTCTTGGGCGAACACGAGCTGATTCGCCCAAGTTTCGCACCGATGTTGTTCTGGAGGCGACGCCAGCCAGAGTCAGTGCCCTTCGTGACGTCATCAGCGGGTGGTGGGCACGAGCACACGCAGTCATCTCTCAGCATCGTGGGCACCGACTTCGAGGTAATGGAGAGAAGCAGCAGGTCACCCTTGTAGCAGCAGGAGTCGATTTACGAGCTTCAGCCCCCGAGCAGGGGCACAAGTGTATCAGACCAGGAGATCAGTTTTCATGGAGTCAATGGTTGCAGCTGCTTGGCACACTTCGAGATTGTGGCGATGACAAGTTGCGTGACGCAGCTACTCAAAGCGAGCTTGTTGCGAGGAGGAGCCAGGCACGAGCCATCAATCAGTCAATTGCAGAGTTTCGTGAATGGATGGAGACGCAGGCGGCAGTATCTTGCTAGCATCGAGCGATCTTGTTTTGGAACAGGAAGGGCACACTATTTTACATCCCAAAGACATCTTGGACGTGAAAAGGCTGCACTGGGAGAAGATCTGGGGTCCACCTCAGCAGGATTCCCAGGTCGAGCTCGAGGGCATCTTCGAGCAGATTCGCGAGCGTGTTCATGAGGAACGGTTGCCAGACCTCACTGCTGGGGAGCTAAACTATGCGGGCAGACAGCTCAAGCCTGACGCCGCCATGGGTGACGACAGGCTGTCTGCATGCGACCTGGACCGTCTTCCTCTCGTCGCTCTCGACGAGTTGGCTGCGATCTTGAACGCGTGCGAAATCTTCCAGTGCTGGCCACATCAGTTATTGCTCACCATCGGCACCCTCTTGCCCAAGCAGGTCACGGGCGACAGGGTGATCGGCTTGCTACCTCACATCTCGCGCCTTTGGTCCAAGGCCAGGGAACCGTGGGTGCAGAGCTGGGCCGAGGAATGCGAGGCGCCGTGGGACGCGGCGATCAAGGGGAACGCTGCCATCCAGGAGGCCTTCCTCCGCGTGGTGGACGAGGAGCTAGCGGCCCGCTTGGGCGTCGCCCATGGCCACGGGCTGCTGGACATCGCCAGTTTTTACGACTCGATAGGATGGAAGAGGCTAGCACTGGCGGCGCCACGCCTGGGATTTCCTCCCGAGATCCTCGGTCTCGAGCTCCTCATGTGCATGGCGATGAGGTGCCTGAGACAATCAGGCGCCTACTCGGCTCCCTTTTCACCTACACGTTCGATTGCGCAGGGGTTGCGAGCAGGCACAAGGTTTGCGAATACCATCACTTTTTTCATCATGCAGCGGATTACGTCTACTCACATCGGTGTGTCACGCCGCCTGTGGATAGATGATTTGAGTCAGGTTGTCCGTGGTTCCCGTCGAGCTGTTGTTTCTCATCATTCGGCCTGTCTCATCACGACGTTTGAGCAGATGGAGGAGCACGGTTTGACCATAGCCACCAAGAGTGTTGTGGTTTGTTCGAAGCTAGCAGATGCACGGGCCATTGTGCGACGAGTCCGACAGCACGGTTATCATGTTCGAGCGGCAGCACAGGCAGCGTACTTGGGCGGCGAGTTTGGAGGCGGTCACTCTCACGCTCGTGCTGTTCGGGTTGGCAGAGATCAGAAGCATAAGCGAATGCATCGCAAGGTTGCGCAGTACGCACGTACAGCTCGCAGGTACAAGCTGACCTCGAAGCTGGAGCAGCAGGGGGCG